GAAACCGGGGAGGGCCCAACATGCACGCTCAAAGAAAAATCTTTCAGTTCCAGCAAAATCCTCCACCCCTAATTTAATTTTGTTTTTTTTTTTGGAGGGGCCAAAGCCTCTCCAACTCATAACATAGTTTCGCCCCTGAACATCAAAGGCCGCAACATCAATCTTCCATGACTCATCCTTCTTCTTCACGATCTGGGAGCAAATTGGGCGAAATTACTCGTCGTTTCAGATTTGTGTTTTGAAGAAAATAAGATATGCCAGCAAATTGAATGGTAAGAATGAAGAGAACTTTGCTTGTTTGGTTGAAAAAGTAATCAACATTGTTTGTAGAAGGGCACGAGATTCTCAGAAGATTTTTATTACAACAAATAAATGTTTACGTGCCCCAATAAAAGTTCTTACCCCTTTTTATTAAATAAATAAATTAATTAATGGATTTGAAATTTGAATGTCTCTTTTTTTTTTTTCAAAACGATAAGAACTTTAATTAAACTCAAAAGGTTTATGTACAAGATAGATCAACCAAAGTGGCTGACCTTTTACAGCTGACTCTAAGACAAAATACAACCGTATCGAGTATCCCGGCTTAGCCCTTACAATATCAAAACAAAGAAACCCCAGACCCCAACCCACAAAAGATAGCCTAAGAGCAAGACAAGAAGACAAAGCCTAATTATATTACAAAGCCTAAAACATCAAACAACAACAGAACTAGCCAAAATACAAATTAGTAACAATCAGAAAAGCATAGAAATAATGGATATTGCACTGACAACACAATGGTTGCCCTACAGTCCATTACTTCCACAAAACAGTCACCCTTATCCCTAGAAAAGGGAAAAAAAAAACTAAGACTTAACATCCCACAACAAAAGCAAACTCAGCACACTCCCTTCTAGCACCCTTTGCTGTGTCCATCTCAGAAATCCATTCCTTTCTAAAAACCCAGCTATTCCGTGTCTTCCAGAGCCACCACAAAACATATGTAGAAAGAGAGATTCTGTCTATGGCTCCATTGATATTCTTCATCAATACAATGTCCTGCCACCACCATTTGAAGTTGCTTTCTGATCTTTGCAGCCTTTCCCAATTGACTCCTGTGAGATTCCAAATTCATTTGGCTCTTTGACATTAGAAGAATATGTGCTCTAGAGTCTCCTCCATCTCACCACAGATGTTGCAGATAGGGTCCATCACCATCCCCCTTCTCCTCAGTCTGTCCAAGGTGCCCAGAAAGCCATGGTAACATCTCCATATGAAAATTTTGATCTTGTTCTTTATCTTCAGACCCCATGTGTGCTTCCATAGCTTTTTCTGAATATGACCACTGATGCTAGCTTCTGGCTGCTCCAATGCTAGTTCCTGCTTTAACTTCAGAGCAAAGTACATAGATTTGACAGAAAACTGACCATTCTTGCTAAACTTCCACCCCATCCTAACTCTACCCAAATGGGATGACCCTGTTTGATACTCTATTCCCTCTCTCATCCTATCTCTCACACTCATCCATGATTTCCAGAGCCAAGAATCATAAGGTTTAAATTTAATCTCCCACAGGTTCTTGTTATGAAAGTATCTACCCCTAATTACCCTAGTCATCAGGAGGTTTGGGCAAGTGATGATCCTCCAGATTTGTTACCTATCAAAGCACTATTAAAAATCTCAAGGTTCCTAATTCCCAACCCACCCCTCTCTTTAGGTTTGGCTATCTTATCCCAGGATCCCCAATGTATTCTGCAAGTACCCTCTCATGTTCTACCACACCAGAAATCAGCTATGCTCTTGCAAATGCCTCTGCAAACACTCAGAGGAAGCTTAAAACAAGACATCACATACAGAGGCATAACACTGAGTACAGCATTAATGAGGGTGAGCCTCCCTGCATCACTTAAAAAACAGTTTTTCCAACTAGATATTCTAGCTAAGACACAATCAAAAACATATTTAAAAGTGGCTTTTTTAGACCTCCCTAAAACTAATGGCAAACCAAGATATTTTGAGGATTTCACAATTTGAATCCCTTGAAAAATATGGGAAATTTGGGCCTTAGTCTCCCCAGAAGTATTTTTTGAGAACATTATGGTATATTTATCAATGTTTACCATCTGACCTGAGGCTTGGCCATAATTTTCAAGAATATTCAAAAAGATAGAAGCATTCTGAGCAGAAGCTTTACAGAAAACAATAGAGTCATCAGCAAAAAATAGATGGGTGATCACAGGGGAATTTTTACCAATTCTAAAACCATGAAAATGCTTAGATGTTGTGTCTTGGTTAATAAGATTTGATAAAGCCTCAGAGATGATAATGAAAAGGTAGGAGGATAAAGGATCCCCCTGCCTTAAGCCCCTAGATGGCTTAAGAAATCCTTGAGGCTGCCCATTAATTTTAAAAGAGAAAGAAGAAGAATTAATGCAAGCAAAAATCTGGCAAATGAAAGAGTGACAAAACCCTATCTTCCTAAGGATCAAGACAAGAAAGGGCACCCTCAACCCGATCAAAAGCTTTAGCCATATCTAATTTAATGGCCATCAAACCAACCTTACCCTTTCTTTTGCTGTTAAGATAATGGACATACTCATTGGCCAAAACTACTTATCTATTATTTGTCTTCCAGGAACAAAAGCTGCCTGGTTTTGAGAGATACAAAGATGAAGGACTGATTTGATTCTATTGGCTAGGATCTTAGAAATCAATCTATATATAACATTACAAAGACTGATAGGACGAAGATCGGAAACTTTTTGGGGATTTTGAATTTTTGGGATTAAGGAGATAATGGTGTGATTTAACTGATTAGTCATCAAACAATTATTGAAAAAAATTCTAATGGATGTACACACATCATGCTTAACAATATCCCAATGTGACTGAAAAAAGAGGGGGGTGAAACCATCACTACCTGGGGCCTTATGAGGATGCATCTCCATTAGTGCTTCTCTTATCTCTTCCTCCTTGACAGGTTGAGTAAGGGTTCTGAGATTGAAATATTTCTCTGTGATACCATCCAGGCTGCAGTAGTTGATATTTGGCCTCTGAGATTGAAATATTTCTCTGTAGAAATCCAAAATTTCCTCCAAATTCTCCTCCTCATTTCTTCATTTTGATCCATCACTTCTGGTTAGGAGGTCAATGTTGTTGGATCTCCTTCTCTAGGTAACACTGGCATGGAAATACCTAGTGTTTTTGTCCCAGGCTTTCAGCCAGTGGATTCTAGATTTATTTTGCCAGTATATCTCTTTATCCAGGTAGGCAGTGTGCAGCTGGGCTTTGACACATTCTCATTCTTTCCAATCTTTGTCTTTCCCAAGTAGAGCCACGTCATCCAGCTTAGACTAACAAATCTCAATTTGCTTTGCTGAGTTTGTTTGTGACTGAGTATTCCATTTCAGAAGTGCTAATCTGGTATCCCTCAGTTTCTTCTGGATCTCCACCAAGCCAAAGTTTTCTCCTGATCTTTCCAAACTTCAGCTATAACTTCTTTACACCCATCCTTTGTTTCCCATCTTGCATCATAAGTGAATCTCTTTTTTCCTTTTTTTGTGGTTGGATCTGTTTGCAGCAACAGTAAATAATGATTGAAGATATCATCTGAATATGCCTAACATTAGACAAGGGAAAGGTTAAGAGCCATCCAGGAGAAAAAAAGATCCTATCTAGTCTTTCTTCTACAAAACCCTCACCCTGCCTATTATTTGCCCAAGTAAAAGGATACCCTTGATAATACCCATCCTTCATGCCCATAAGTCTAACAAAATTCCTGAAACTAATGAAGCTACAATCCTCTCTTTTCTTACCCCCTTTTTTTCTCAGAGTGGAACAAAAGATCATTAAAGTCACCCCCTAAGAACCAACAATCTCCCCACATTAAACTATGCCTGATTAAAATCTGCCATTGGCTTTTCCTAATGTTCTTATTAGTACTTAATTAAAAAAAACCCCCAAAATCTAATATTATACCCAATATAAAGAAAACACACCTCAATATAAAAATCACTGCATATAATATCCAAAATAGTAACAGACCCATCCCATCACAAAAGAAGCCCTCCCTTGAGACCTATTGGTTCTACAGATATCCACCTATCATCTAGCTTCAACTTTTTACAAACAGTCTTAATAAAGCTATTTTTTCTTTTTTGTTTCTGATAAAAACACAAAATTTGGGAGGTGAGTTCTTTGAATCTCTTTGATTTGGGAAATTATAGAGGGCCCTCCCAGACCTCTACAATTCCACACCGAAACATTCATTTGGAAACTTGGGACCATTTATGGCTGGTTTCCTCCACCCTATTATTTGACAAGCTGGGATGAACATCACAAAGATTATTTTTCAGTTTTTTAGCAGGTTCATTATCAGAGAACATGGAATCAGAAGCAGATTCAAAAGATCTTTTTTTTTTTTTTTATTTTCATTCAAAACAAACTGAGTAGTTAAGTTTTCTTCCTGCTTACTCAAAGCCAAACACTTCTTTTTATCTTTAATAACAGGTATTTTCAAAGAAGATTTTTTCCTGTCACAAGGCTCAGTTAAATCATCAATAATTCTTTTAGTAGCCATTTAGACAGGAACCTGCACTAAATTATCTAAGCACATTAAGTCTACAGCCTGTTCTTTTCTACTATCCATGTTATTAGTGACTACTATTCCTAAGGAGACAGCAACATGACTCTCACTCCCACATTTTCCAATCTCAGCAGACTTGTTTCCTTGAGTCAAAGCCTGATTTTTAGCTTCTGTCTCAGAGGACACAAGTCTTACTTCCCTCCCTTTGGGAGGGTTACTCTCTATTTCCTCAACTGAAGGATCAAAAGAGAAAACTGGTTCTTTTTGTCCTTCAGCATTGAGGCCAAAATCACTTCTCTCACTATTGGCATTACCTCTACCCCCCAAGTACCCAAACACATAGGCTCTTAACCATTCACCAAATTGTCCAGTAGTTAGGCTATTCTTCTTGATATCTTCTTTCTTTATAGCACAATTACGGTCTGCGTGTCCGATCCTTCCACAATAATTGCAGAAATTTAACAGGTTCTCATATTTAAAATTTACCCACTTCGCTTCTCCTCCAAGATGAATATGAGTGCCTCGCAGGATAGGGTCCTTCAAATTTAGCTCCACCAAGATTTTAACAAGCTTTCATCCATAAACTCCCATATCCGGCACTACCACATCCAGAACTTCCTCCAAAAGTTTCCCTACTTTCAGACCAATCTCAGCAGAGACCCAGTATAGTGGTAGATCTAAAATCTGTACCCACAGTTGGATGGTGTCTGCCTCTTCCCTTCGACCTTCTTCTGTTGGGTTCCATTCCTTTAACAACAAGTATTGGACATCGAACGACCATGTACTGGTCAGAACTCTTTTCTTGTCTTCTTCTGTTTGGAATATGAATTTGAAATGGTTATGTCCCAGAGCTCTAGCAGTAACTGGCTTCTGAGTTTGCCAAACTGTCTGCAGCGTGTTCCTCATGCTTGTGAAGTTGACCCTCTTCTCACCATATATTCGACCAAAGAGGCTCTGAGAGCATTCTTGAATTCCTGCGCTAGTATCATCGTCGATGATTGAGATTCCACCTTCCTCTCTTTCAGATTGCATAAAACTTTGTAGTTGATTCACCAAGTTGTCTGCCATGGCATCTGTGATTTCCGACCACTAACCACAAACCCTTACACGCCTGTTCAAGGTGATTCGACCAAGAGAACACATGTGGATGAGCAGGAAAGGTAAGTAAGCCAAGACGAAAAACCAAAAGGGATAGAAATTAAAGATAGATGCTATCGGCGAATCAAAAAACCCTAGATGCGATTAGAAGCAGAAAAAATTCCCCAAATGGGGTGAAAACAAGGATAATATGACCGCAGAATCTGACTATGGCTAAGATGAGAGGGAAAGAAAATATGGATGAGATGAAAGAAAGTGAGATCGGAGATCGAAACTGAAGAATAGAAGGGAGACTAAGAACCCTAATCCCAAATCGGGAATTCTATCCACTAGAGAGAGAAAATATCCCAAGATGGGAACTTCTTTGCCAACTTGTTTGAAATTTGAATGTCAAGCAATATCATTTATGGTATAAAATTGTTTATAAATTAGTGACAATGACCTTTCTATCGTTCATTAATCTTTAATTTCTTATATTTGTAATTTGGGATTTAATAAAACATGGAGGTAATTATTACTTTCTAGACTTAAACGGACAAGACTGTGAGAATAACTCGTTTAATATCTCTGTCAGATGTGGAAAAAAATTTATAACGCTATTGTTTTTTAGATTTAATGTTGATAAAATATGTAGAAAATAGATAATAATAATCCTATTACTTTTTAGAATTAAACGGACAAGGCTGTGAAAATAAAAATTTATAACCCTATTATTCTTTAGACTTAACGTTGATAAAATATGTAGAAAATAGATAATAACCTTATTACTTTTTAGACTTAAATGGACAATGCTGTGAAAATAACTCATTTAATATCTATCTCTCGTGCATCGCACGGGGTACATACTAGTTAAATATTTTCTAGTGAAGATTAAAGGACTCAAATTATTAATCCATGGGACCCATTACTGCTAATCAATACATAAGGAGTGGGTTATTTATTTTAAAAAAAATTAAGTAAACAAAAATAAAAAAAAACAAATGTGTGGACAAAAATCAAACACACGCATTCTCGGAATACGTTTTTCTAAAAAAAAAATATTTAGAAAAACTCATTCCGGGAATACGCTTTTATAATTTTGTAAATTAAAAAAAAAAAAACTCAAAATTCCTTTAATATTCGAATATTAAAAAAATAATATATATAAAACGTATTATACAAATACGTTTTTTAAAACCCGAATAACGTTTTAAAAAATACGATTTGTATTTTTCTATTTTTAATTTTTTAAAAAAAAAGTATTATAAAACGTATTCCGAGAATACGTTTTACAATTAAATTGTCGGTAAACGTATTCTCAGAATACGTTTTTTGAATTAAATATAAAAAAAATCCTCTTCCTCTCCATTTCTTTTCCGCGAGCAGAGAGCACAGAAGCAGAAAGAAGCAAGCAAAAACAATCGGAAAAAAAAAAACTCGATCCAATTCTCACCCCCGCGTGAACCGACAACAACGGCACGAGCCTCCTTTCCGGTTAATTCATTCGCACGAGGTATATTTGTTAGAGTAGGATACCCGGTGTTCCAATCAAATTGGACGTATTCTACTTGTAAATACAATCTATTGGAATTATATTAAATAATAAGGCATTACTTTATTTTAAGAGTAAGCATTTATCATATATTTGCACTTAAGATAAAATCCCTAGATCACTTATAACTCTAAGATATGGTTGCACATAGAGATGGTGATCTTGGAACATATCTTGAAAGCTGTGATCTTAAATACAGTTCCAAGTCGTTGGATATTTCGAGATGGGATATCGAATAAATCCGGAAAAGACTTGCACATAGTATGTATGCTTATTGGATAAGAATGTTGCATTCCATCAACATTAGCGTGTGACGCAAATACATATATGTGGGTGCTTGTTAGAGAACAAGTTCACTGAACATGACCGTATGAAAATTCTTAATGAAAGTTTTGTTGGGTTCGATATACCGTACGGAACAGAGTTTACAGCGGAATTTAAAAATTTTA